AATTAACGACACCCAACGATTGGATTCTCATTTTGACGCACAAGAAGAGAGACAAGGAAGTCGTTGCGAGCGTCTCTCTTCTTTCCCAGGGATGGGTTCCCGGTGAATCAAATGAATGAGATATGTTTTACCGGGATGCTATCATACGTCAGTATTAAGGTACGAAATATTACTTGATATTCCATATTATTATCTATAAAACACTCTATTATACACAATATGTTGTATTGACTGTGAGTACGTCGCAGTTGTGGGTATTTTCAAAACTCACAGTCAAGCCACAAATAAATAAATACAGAAATGAACGGCAAGTCATTGCGACCATTTCAAAGCACTACTCTATTTACAAACCTTTTACCTAACCGTCCTCGCCAAAGGAATCCGCCCTCCTTCCCTTTTACCTTTCTACTACACTTTGAACTTCCAACTTCGAAGTACCTGTAGTACCGTTAGGTACCGGTAGGTATTCGTATAGTACACTGACTTTCTGTGGCAACACATGCATGCATACATCCATTCACCGTCCATCCGGCAGCACCATGGCTCCTCTACAACATGATGAAATAAACGACGGGACCTCCTTTTACCTCTCTATTATTCCAAAAAAAAAACATAATGTTACATCGAATCGACGAAAATTTACCTCCGAAAAATGATGAAGCGGCCGGTCTTTTTCGTCCTCGTGTCAACTCTTCCGAGACATCGTGAGAAGAAGGAACGATGCGATTTCCTTTTACAACCACCATCGCACGAACAAAACATATCATAATGATTGCGGAACAACCATCACTATACATGGCGGAGATTCTCGTCGTTTGGCGTCCTTGAAGAGCTTGGACGGCTGTCAAAAATAACCTTTCAGCCTCGGTCGGGCGACATACCTACGAGAAATACATGGAATGGAATGGAATCAAATTGACGATACAGTTGTATCATTGTTTCACGGCATAGTAGTAGCAACAGATACAAAAACAAAATCCCGGTTGGATCGAGAACCCAAAAAAAAGGGATGTAGAATAGAGGAATTGGACTCCACACAGGTAAGACCCAATCTTCGAACAGTAATCGGTCATGCCGTCGTCACAAAATCACCACAAATTAGTCAGGATGCACAACTTCCATTTAATAATCCATGAATGTGCTATCCGTTACGTTTGTGGTAGAGTATCGCAATCGTTGGGGAATGCAGGTAGACTTGGGTTCTACCGTTTTGGTGGAACTGGTTTATCTGCCTCTCTTTTTGGCATTTTTTTTGTTTTGAGAAGGATGTGTTTGGATTGCACTGGCGAACCCAGAGAGTTGATGTCTTGCGGAAATGAATTGTCGTCTGGCAATCATTTTTGATGATTTCATCGTAGTGGGTGAGCTGACAGTTTTGTCTTTTCTTTTGATTTTACGGTTGTTACAGGTATTTAAGTTGTACCAATCATTTGGATCAAAGAGAAGTTTACACGCTTTCAAACAGTCCTGTCCCGGCCTTTGTGCAGCATCAGGACATCTGTCGATGTCGGCAACTTTTGGAAAACGGACCGCACACTTCACAATAGATCTTATGAAAGATATCAAGTATGTAAGTTATAATAATGTTTGAAGGAAATTGGGGGGAGGGATTGACTTTTTTGTCGCTGGGTTGCACACTCTGGATTTTGAATGCAACGATTTTTCGTTCATTTTGATAGGAATCCTTTTTTTCGAACCCTATAGAAACAAACACGGAGGAAATTGAGGGAGACACTTGTCTTTTTTAAAATGATTTGTGACAATGTGGCATTTTTCCAATTCCCTTACATGTCGTTTTTCCCGCTTGCTTTTTGTTTTGTTCTTGTCCCACCTGAAGTTGCCCCAAGTCTTGTAGACGTTCAGGTAGCATCGAACATGTCGCAAAAAAAGTGAAAATGTTTCGACAACCATCTTCAAAAACGGCAGAGATTCACGTCTTTTGGTCGTCATGTAAACGCTTGGGAAGATTTCAAAACACCCACTTTCGGTCTCGTTCGAGCAACATGCCTACGAGATCACATGGAATGGACCATGCAATTTCCTGTTACTAACGTTGTGCAAACATACTATCGTGTTGAGCAACAACCACCTCTCTAGAAATGGCGGAGATGTATCCCTGTTGGCCGTCCTTGAAGCGCTGTTATGGCAGTCAAAAACGCACAATTCCAGCCTCGGTCTTGCAACATACCTACGAGATCACATGGATTGGACGTTGTAACTCCCTTTACCACCTTCGTACAACATACTATCGTGTTGAGAAAAACCATCTCTAAAAATGGGGAAGATTTATCTCTGTTGGCCGTCCTTGAAGCGCTGTTATGGCAGTCAAAAACGCACAATTCCAGCCTCGGTCTTGCAACATACCTACGAGATCACATGGATTGGACGTTGTAACTCCCTTTACCACCTTCGTACAACATACTATCGTGTTGAGAAAAACCATCTCTAAAAATGGGGAAGATTTATCTCTGTTGGCCGTCCTTGAAGCGCTGTTATGGCAGTCAAAAACGTGCAATTCCAGCACTTACGAGATCACATGGACTGAACATTGCAATTTGCTCTTATAATCATGATACAATCATAATATCGTATTAAAAACAACCATCTACAAAAACGGCGGAGGTTCACTTCGTTTGGTCGTCGTGTAAACGTGTTGTGGCAATCAACGTTTCTTTGGCTGGTAGACATCCTGTATGAACTAATGCGACGAAACATATCAAATGTTTGAACATAAACGATAGATTATGAAAAGAAACATACCTCCGTCTGAAAATGTCGCAATATTCATAAGAGTTATGTCATCATGTTGGTACCAGCTGCGAAGAGGATGGACGAGTGTCGCAGCAGGAAGAAGATCGCATCGAAATTCCCCGTTGGAAAGTTACTGTTGCGTTCCAACACCATCGGCCACAGGCCTAGTGGCGTACAATTCTCGTCTTTTTTCAATAATATTCGTCCCCCTTGGTTGAGACGCAGATAATACGAGATGCGTTCTCCTCCAGAAACCATGACTGTTGCCGTCGAACGCGAACCATCCGCAGTTGTTGTCATTGATGGCGACCGTACCTTACAGGAATGGTGGAGGCGCTGTAGCGAATAGTTGTGACTCCGAAGCACGGCCTCCAAACAAGACAGATCGGCAAAGGCGTTGTATTTGAGACTTAATGTAGTCAACGCTTGATTTTGCTCCATCGTCTGGATCAATGCCTCCAATCCCCGGTCACCCACACTGTTCGCCGACAAGTCCAAATCATTCAACGATGTGTTCTTGGCCAAGGCACGAGCCAGTAGTTGAACGTTTGCGTTTCCCAGACTGTTTCCGGCCAGTCGTAACACCTTTAGTGTTTTGTTGTATTGTAACGCATTCGCAAATGTGGATACATCACCAAGGTCTCCAGTTTGGTACGAAACATCTAGGACGACCAGTTCTTCGACCCATGGCGACGACAGTAAGCGTCCCAAGGCATCCAGTCCCAAGTGACCTGTTCCATTCCCTACCAGATCCAGCTTTTCCAAATATTTCATTCGTCGCATCGCTCCAACGAGTCTCTGCGCGGCCCCATCGCTTAATCGACAACACTTGAAGGACAAGTTTCGAAGCCGAGGAGATGTCGGTGGATTTTGCTGCTGCTGCTGCCGCTGCTCATACTGATGACAGTTGTTGTTTGATGCGCTCAAGTAGCGTTCACATGCCTCCACACACTGCTCATTTCGTTCCAAAGGACATCCACAGAGACTCAAAGTATGCAATGATTCGAGGTTGGACAGCAAGGGGAACAAGGATTCCAAATGATACGGCACAACGTTCAATGTCAACGACTGTAAATTCGAGAGCCGGCAGATGGCTTTCATACAATTGACGTCCAACTTGGACGTTTTGTGGATTTCCAAATGTGTCACAAGATTTCTTCTTTGGGGTGGGGAGGGATTCTGATGCTCCCGATCCGACTTGTAGTCATCGTCGGTTGTTGTTGTCGCGGTCTGTTCCATCAAAAGCAACTTTTCCATGACCTTGGGGTGCGCTTGGCAGGATCGGATGACCAACTTGCGAATTTGTTGTTGTTCCATCAATGTCACCATTTGATCAGATAATTTGGAAGAAATATAGAGACACGAGACTTCCAGCTCGTCGATCGTTTGGAGGACCCTTCCTACGTTGTTTATGTGACAGACGTTTCCTCCACGAGTGCACCCTCGGGGGAACATTTGAAGCTTGTTTCCTCGTATTTGTAGATGGTCCATGATTCCACCAAGCGTCCAGGCTCTTTCATGCGGAAACGACAACCACATGGCAGCGGCAGAAATTGGATAAATTCACTTTCAGGTATCGTAAATAAGGAATAGTGGGGAGGGCAGTGAAACAAGTAAAGTGGTCAAGTCGTGATAGTGAACGCTCCACGGGTGTTTGTCTGCTGCGACGGCATTCGCTGTATCGGTGGATCTGGCCAATGTCTCGGGGGAAGGGTGAGCAAATGATATACACAGAAAGAAACCTCGTTCGGACAATACAAGCAAAACGAGCCGAAAGTTCTTGAACTGCTCAGTTGAAACCAAAAAAATGTTGGAGAGCAGGATAATAGCATAGACTTGGGTTCGATGCACGATGAACTGCGGGTAGTATCGGTAGTTGGAGAGGAAATGGGATATGGCTCTTCTTATGGTGATGTGACATCCATCACATCAGAGAAACAAGTCAATTACGTAGTGTTTTGTTGTTTCGTTGTTGACGTACTTCGAAGTAGTAATTATACAAGACGCTACAGAGAAATTTGGGGAGTATCTTCACAGTCAATCTTTCTGTCAATCTTTCAATCTTTCGGCGGTGTCAAAACGAAGTCTTGACTGTATGAAGAAGTTCGTAGACTTGAGTACGGTAGCTATGATACCGTACCGGTAGTACTACCGTTAGGTGCTGTGAATACCGGTCATCCGGTCATGTCTCGTCCAACCAATTCTACAATTATTTGTATAACCAAAAGAGTCCGGTCCCGTAACAACAAGTCGACGTGGCCGAGCGGTTAAGGCGATCGACTAGAAATCGATTGGGTTTATCCCGCACAGGTTCGAGTCCTGTCGTCGACGCTTGTTTCTTTTGTGTTCGTTTCACCACAAAACGATTCTTTTTTTATTTCAGTACTTGCCACGAAGAGTCTTGGAGGTTGACGACTGACGACTGACGAATACGGTAGTAATTGTTGGTATGATCAGATTTGACGTTTTGACACAATGATCATTAAAAATTTTCGCGAAGTCGACGTGGCCGAGCGGTTAAGGCGATCGACTACGGTACCGGTAGAAATCGATTGGTTTTATCTCGCACAGGTTCGAGTCCTGTCGTCGACGTGTTTTGTTCCTTGGGGATGTGAGTGAGTTAACATGTAAAACCATATTTTACCTTATCGATGATTCCTGTCATCTGCGTTGTTGTTTCCGGAGCGGTGGGCATACATGCTACCGGTAGTTCCATTGCCAGGACTTGCCAGGACTTTTCTTTTTTATGCTCTCTACTCCAGAGGGCGAGAGGCAAACTGACTGATCTCGTTCATAATTCTAACAGTAAGCGAAGTTGGAACAGCGTCCGAAGGTAAATGAATGAAGCTATTGCACAGTGCTGATGATTCAAACCTCGTTCCGGGGCAGGGTGGGTTACGAGATCGAACAAAAAAGGAAAATTGTACCAGACTTTACGTTCATGCGAGACAGCGATTGGGATCCCACATCCTACGGTAGTTTAGCTAGTTTTCAGCTGCTTTTATTGAGTTGTAAAGGGAGAAGCAACGTAAATTGCTCGAGTACGACTTTACGAGAAGCCTTATGCCGGGACTGACGGTCGCATGAGTCTCGGATACTATTTCTGTCTATTGAGGCACGGTAGTCGACGTACTTTACATCTTGATGCATGCCCGGTTACAAATCGGCGTTTGAAGTGATTACCTAGCTACGGTACTACGGCTAATACTACTACCTAACTGTAAGGCGGTAATGTCTTTTTGTTTGACATCTACCCTTAGTGTATGATAGTAAAAGATAGTCTCGCTGGGAGTACGCTCGCTGTTTTTTAAAACATGGCGATGTCCGGACGAGGCTTCTTATTGGTCGTAAGTCACGTCGACGTTTCTTTCAAGAAATTGAAATCTATTGGACCATCCAGCACTAACATATTTTGCATTATGTTCTTTATGGTACTCCAGGGGAGTATTTATACAGATTACCGCTGGACCGTCCGTCAAAAGAGTCCTAGACACCGTTGCTTATGTAACCGCATGTTGGCGCCAAATGGACTAATGGCAAAATATGCTGCCGGTAAGTCTTTGTTGGTTCCGCCCGTTACGTTCTTTGCAGTTTCTCTCTCTCTCTTTGTCAAAGCATGTGACGTAGCACTACGTGGTACTCAAGATCGACCTTCTATTCCTCACCATCGGTTCGTCGATTCTCATAGTATGTCATCATATTTCTCTCCGTGTTTGCCCTGACTGCTGTCGTAATCGCCTCACTTGAATCATTCTTACATTGTGCCTTGACGATGGGAATCTCTTCGCTTGATTTGGGTGCCGAAATTCTTGGGTATCTTGGCGGTATAGTGCTTGCCGTGGCCCTCCTCCCCCAACTCGTGCATAGCCTCAAGACACGGTCTACAAAAGGCATTTCCTATGGCTGGCAATTGGTCTATCTTTTCGGACTGGTGCTTAATTTTATCTACTTCCTGATGATCAAGGCCACAGCAGGTACATGAAACGATCGAGGGTTCTTCACAAAACCCGACTGCGTTGGATTTGAATGAATCATGTCGGCCAACAGAACTTGCCCCCTCTAACTTGCGCACATTTTTCTCTTTGTGGAATTGCAGCCTGGGCGACCTTGACGATTGAAGTGTTCTTTTGCACATGGTTGCTGGTACTCAAGATAAAGATCGATGGCTTGGAATGTTCTTCTCGTAGTGAAGCCAACGCAAAAGACATTTCTGGTGACAAGGATGATGCTGCTGCATGCAAATCGGGACACACAGATCTAGAGTCCCTAGACCTGGAACTTAAATCTGGGCTTGACAATGCACTAAATCGCGCCATTTGCGTGGTAGATGGTAATGTTGACTTGACTCGAAACGTGGATGATCTCATTTGCAAGGATGCCATTCGTTTTCGCCATGATTCGACCATCGGACCGTACACTTTGGTGAACGGTGCTTACCGCGGCTTTCATATCATGATTGACGCTGTTTTCACTATCGAACTCCCTCCCGAGTTTGGAAATGATCTCTTGACGCAAATGTGCGCATTGGCGAAAATACATGGCGTCCGTGTAGTCCATGATCATGCTGAAATCTTTGATGGTACTACTCCTGGATTTGTTGCTGTGGCGTTGTTGGACGAGAGTCACATGTCGGCGCATTGTTATTCGGGCCAGGGAAAACTCACCTTTGACGTTTTTACTACATGCGGTGCCAATCCCGATTGCACCCGGAAGGTGGCACGTGATGTGCTTTTCTACCTCCGCCGGAACCTGGGAGGCGATGCAAAGTATCAAATCCACCATTTAGTACCTCTCCGTCCAGTCCACAAGGGAATCGGGTACTAGTAGGGGCAAGAAACTTCCTCTCGAGAGATCTCACAATAAATGTCAACACATTGCACGTCGTGGACATGCTTCGGACAACGGGCCGATGGTGGTGTCACCAACGCCGCTTCTTGAAGATGGAAATGACAAACAAAGCAGAGGAGCTTTTCCTTGCAATTTTTGTATTATTGTTCTGCATCATCATTGAGTTGTCATGACATGCCCGTTTACTACCTAGTTCTTCTAGTAGTTAGGCTGCTACCTCAGTACTAGTTACTCTACTCCAGCTACTACGACTACTCTAGCTAGAGTGCTTTGCAAATCTCTCTCAAACAAACTTCTCCGTTGAGCCAGTTACGACAGTAGAACTATCGTGTATTACGCACTCCGTGCCTTCTGACCTACTACCGCTAGTACCGTACTACCGTAGTACGTACTGTCGTAGAAGGAAGATCCCCAAAAAAGATACATCATCCATGATCGTCTTCTACGAGGTTTGTTTCCATCGCAAATCAAGACAACTCTCTCTCTCGAGTTCTTGCAGCAATATTCTTCTTCGTTGTTGAAATACTTAGTACTCTTCTTCTTCTCGCCGTTACAAAAGAGATCCCCAGTACATCGCTTCTTTCTACGTGTATCAAAAGAAAGACAAGACAATACACAATTGTCCGTCGGAATCGGGGGGGGGGGATTGTTCGGCAAGTCGACCCACACTCCTGCCACGTGACACACTATATCCGAAGTTTCTGCTGGACGGATGATCATGATGTGGAGGAGTTTCACTTCTGCTGTCAAGAACAACGATTCATCGTTCCACAAAAGATCCTTTCATCAAAACGTCCGACGAGTTGGATCTACAGTGAAACATTTCTATCCGTCCCATCACAGTTTGATCCTCCTCCCCAGTATTGTGTACTTGACGATGACAGTACTGATGACCACAATACTTCTTCCTACGTCGTTGGCATGGTCCACTGAATGGATCAATTTGGAAAATGGAATCGGATCGTCGTCATCCTTCCAAAGGATTATGCCACCCCGATCGGGTCACGTGGCTTTCCATTTGGATGACAAGATCTTTGTGTTCGGTGGATACGCCGCCGAACAAGACGAACAAGAAAAAGGAGTCGAGAATCGACGATATCCGATTAATGATTTGTGGGTCCTGGATCCCACCACGAAGAAAAGTGACCAAGGATGGACACGACTTCATGGAGCTGATGAGGCCAATACGGAAACTGCATCCATTCCACAACAACGACTGGCAGCGGCCGCTGTCACTTGTCAAAATAAGGAGGGTGCAGTAGTTGGGTTGGTACTGGGTGGATGGGATTCGCAAGAGGCCGGAACGGGTGGTGTCATCCTACAAGACTTGCAAGCCTACTGTCCATCTCAAAATACATGGCAAAAGCTGTCCTTCGATTTGCAACAACCCACCAGTCGGTTGTGTGCCGTTACACTTACGACGACGGATCCAAAGAAGGTGTTGGTGCATAATCATCGATGTACCGATCATGTGTTGATTTTGGATATGGAAAAGGAATCGTCGTCGTCGTCGTCATCGTCTCCATTGACACGACAACCGACGACTGGAAGTCCTCCATCACCTCGTGGACTCCATGCGTGCGTACTTTTGCCCAACACCACCAAGATGGTCTTGTTTGGGGGTGCCGCACAAGATGGGAGCATGTCCAATGAGGTTTTTGTGTTGGATACGGAAACTTGGGAATGGCAGGCCATTGAGGCTGTGGACAACAAAGAATTGGAAGAGGGGGAGGACCGTCGTCCATCACCACGTGCCAGTCCTTGTCTGGTAGCCATAGACGAATCTACTTGTGTTTTGTTCGGAGGAGCGACCCGTTCCGAACAAGGTTTGCATGGATGTAGCGATACGTGGTTATTGGAATTGGTTGTTGGGGATGATGATAGCGACAACGACGACTGCAGCAGGGTTCGGTGGACAAAGCTGAATGACGATGGATGTCCGGATGCACCCCCCGGACGGAATGCGGCGAGTTTGACCCGTCTTTCTTTCCGGCCAGCCATTTTGGAAGGAAAGGAGGTGGATGCATCTGTAATAAGCGACCAATATTTCGTGCTGAGCGGAGGATGGTATCCATTCCGCACCACCTACAACGACAACTATGTATTGAAGGTTACAAAAGGGTAGTAACGGAAGTGTAGCAAACCATTTCAGAAAACAAACTAACAAACTTCTACTTAGATACGACTACACTGATGACAACCAAAAGTTATCAACATTAGACTATTATCGCATTTTGACAGAGGACATTGCTGTCGGTTTTGGTAAGAGAAGAATTGGCAGCAGTGAAGTCTCTCCAAAGACTACCGTAGGTAGTGTCGTAGTGTTCCTAGAGTGGCTTTCGTAACAACCGTACTTCAGGTACGGACCAGATGTCAAATTTTACCGCTCCAGCTCGATCCGAACAGAGGAGAAGATTCGACCAAGAAACAACAACGTCCTGCCCATCGTTTTTGTGTGGGATGTGCTGTCCCCCTCAACTTGCCGTTTGGCACACCTTTCGGTTTGGGCACGTAAATAATTGTTTCTTTATGATGACATTGATGCTTGCGTATTTTCGTTTCATATTGTTGTTGTTGTTGTTGTAATCAATCATTGCAGTCTTGTTTTTGTGGTTTGGGGGACGGTTTGGAATCCTCCAGATGTTTCGATCCGTGTTGTTCTGTCACAACGGTAGAGAAATCGGATATTTGTGGCCTCATTGGAGGAGGAATGACAATCACATCAACATCATCAGCGTCGGCCA